TTTCAAGCATTTTAGTTGCAACACTTCCAAAGTTAAATAAAATTTAGATGGATAGCTCTGCTGAGAAAAGAAATATTTTCTTCTTTGATTTCTTCATCTCCAGGCCAGGAATCATCTTGCCCTCAACCAGATTCATGTTCTTTGACTCACTTTTCCATCAAGGTAAACCCTTTGGTTCCCGTTCTGTCTTTGTTCGATTGTCGTTAACAGTTTTTTTGTTAGTTTGTAATCCATGTCTTCAGATCATGTACTTCTTTTTTTGACATGTAGATCATATACTTTTAACCATCTTGCCCTCAACCAGATTCATGTTCTTTGACTCACTTCTCCATCAAGTTGGTTCTTCATTATCTTTATCTCATTATTCTGGTGCTACATATATGTACGATATATTCTTACATTCCAGTATGTTTGTTTGTATGTGCTGAGTTTGCTCTTTTTTAAGGGCAACTATTCTCTCAAACTGCAAGAAATGATGGTAGGTAGGGAAACATTTGGAATTTTTTTTCTTTGGTATGCACGCTTTGGCTTTAACAATAATATATTTTTTGACAATTCACACACTAATTGTGAAATAGTTGTGGTGTGTCTGTGGCCGCATTAAGGTGGCTGCATTGTTGACCATGGTGGAGGTCTGGAGAGAAGGAAGTTGTGCGGTGAGAACAGCCACACTCATTCTTGCGCACTGAGCCACCTCCTGTTAAGTCCCTTATTCAAACACATGCTATTTTGTTCTTGTTAGAGTACGTAATGGGCCTAATGGGCCCATTAGTCTTAGGGTTAATAGAGATAAGGGTCGTTTGCTTAGGGGCCAAGTAAGCCTTGCTTGAGAGTCAAGTAAACCTCTTTATATAAAGAGAGGAGATGTATCAATCTAATCAAGCAAGAATTAAGAAGGAAATCCCTTCCCTCTTGCCTGGCCGTGCCTTCGCCGCGCTCGCCGGGCCGCTGCAGCTGTCATCCATCGCCACCACCGCCCAGCCCTGGCTGCAGTGGCAGCCACCGCTACTGGCAGCCTCCGCCGCGCCTGGCGCGCCAGCGCAGCAGCCGCTGCAGCTGCAGCAGCCACCGCCGGTCAGCTCTGCTGCCCAGTATGGGATGCCCTACGACGGGAGTGCGACGACCTCGTTCCCATCAGCGCCGCCGCCATCCCAGGGCGTCCACATCCAGCAGATCAAGTCCCTGCCGTCGCCGTCACCGCTTCCGTCTTGGATCGCTACCCGCCACGTGTCGGCGGCAGTGAGGCTGCAGGCTGCTGCGCGCGGCCTCCTAGCGCGTCGGCGTGTGCGGGAGATGCGTGGTCTGCAGCTGCCGCTCCTCCAAGTTGCCCTTCGCTGCGCAAAGGACCTCGATCTCGTCCGCTGCATCGGGGATCTTGGGCATGTGGTTTCCCCCACGGGCGGCCGGCATGCTGTTTTCCCCGCGGGCAGCGACCTCAAAGTCTGCAACATCGGCGGTTGGGGGGGCGCACCCCTCCTCGTCATTCTCCATCGCAAGCCCTCCACTCTTCCTTGTGCGGTGCAGACCAACAGCCATACACATGCACTCCTTTTGTCCAGGTGGTGTCCATGGGATCCAGGTGGTTGTACACGTGCACGTCCAAAATAAAACGTCCTAGTCTATTTCAGGTTGAGAATAATAAAACAAGCCGAGATGTAAAAGGCTTGTTTTTAGGTGTTAGGTTTGTGTTCCGTCGAGTCATGGTTATAAGTTGGTTAGGCTGCAGCTCGAGGACAAGCTGCATGTCCAAGTGGGGTGTAGTGTTAGAGTACGTAATGGGCCTAATGGGCCCATTAGTCTTAGGGTTAATAGAGATAAGGGTCGTTTGCTTAGGGGCCAAGTAAGCCTTGCTTGAGAGTCAAGTAAACCTCTCTATATAAAGAGAGGAGATGTATCAATCTAATCAAGCAAGAATTAAGAAGGAAATCCCTTCCCTCTTGCCTGGCCGTGGGCAAAAGGCCCCCGGCCGGCCCTCTCGCGCCCGCCTTCTAGCAGCGTCATAACAGTTCTTCCTTTGTCTATCTTGCTTTGTTTTGGTGTAAGAGATAAACCAAATAACCAACTAGGCTTGCCAATGATGGGACCAGCACAACTCAGGCCAACAGTCACCGAACCCATGTCTCTCCATCCAACTTGGTGAGTTACCAAAGCTAATGCTAGGCCGGTGAGGAAAGCTCATGTTATATTACATTTGATGGAGATCACTAAAATGTCAGTTGATTCATACCATCTTGATTTATTTAGTTGTGTGTCAGTGTGGCCTATAACTGTTTCTCAATTCATGAGAGGGATATATTTCCTGAAATATGCAAATCCTTTTTTATTGTAGCTTTTGACCAGAACTGCTGCCTTTGAAAACTGACTGTAAAGGACTCAAAGGAGCCAGGTCAGTGCCTCTATTTTGGTCTGTTTGATCTGTGCTAGGTTCATTCACGAGATTACATTTATTATTTTCATCTTTTTGGCAATATAAATGTTGGTGATTCATCTTCAGATATGTTTGCTGCTCTTTTTTGTACCACATGACCAACAATAGGTCACTATGAACCTGACATGTCATGCCTCATTGATCAGTGAGCACCATATCTGATAGATCACTGCTGTTAACAATGCTGCGATTGTATATTTAGTTTCTGCTGCTAAATTGGAACTATTTATGTTTGGTCTCACATGAGCCTTTGCAAGGCATTGTTGCAACCATCCATTTACTGTACTTTGTTTGATATAATCTACATGACTGCTCTAAATCAAGTTTTGCAATTTTTATTTCATCAACCGTAAAACATTTTGGGAGGTTTCTCAATGGTTTACATGGGATCAACTGTGATTCCTTACCGCATCGAACCTGATCTGCTATTTCTTCACATTTTCCATGTTTAGGTTTGTTTTAGTTTTCTCCTCTGTTATGCACATATTATATAGTACTCCCTCCGTCCGGAATTAACCGTCGCTGAAATGATCAAATGAGTGTAGCGACAGTTAATTCAGATATGTTTTCCATGAAAAATAGGTGCAAAATCCATAAGATCGAAATACATAGACTTCATGATGAAGATGCTATTAGTAGTTAACCTCCACTGGAACGTATCTGGCATTTGAGTTAGACTGATCAACATAAACCTAGAAAACAAATATATCCACTTTGTCTATTTATCACCTAGTAAAGCCCTGCGGAATTGAGTGTTCAAAGGGCTAGCCCAAGAACATAAGCCACTGAATCCTCTTTTCTGAACACAATATTACCATCATCAGGTATTGTAAAGCTAATGGAGTGTCACCCAACCGGGTATCTTCCAAAAACTCATTGATTGGCCGTCACCAAGGTCGGCGCCAGGCCCGCAGGGTGCTGGCTTGGGGCGTGGAGTTTTTCTTCATGGGCTGTAGCAAAAATACCACTGTAGCGCATTGTAGCTAAGCAGCTTGCCTGGGATGTTGGTTTATCCTGGCTCCGCTACCGGCAGTCACCAATCTTAAAGGTTCCTCTCTTAAAAAGGAATTACTTGACCTTCATCAAGCCCTCCAAAACGCTGAATCGGTAGTCTTAGCATCTACTCCCTCCGTCCCAAAATAAGTACTCAATTCTGTACTAGCTTTAGTACAAAGTTAGTATAAAGTTGAGTCACTTATTTTGGACTGAGGGAGTACTTGGGTAACGTTTTGGAGTCCAGATATTTGTTATGGAGCAACTCTTGCCAAACATCTTCCTTGCTAAGTTAAGTAGCTTATACTACAATATGAAGAGGGGGATAGGTGAAGAGAAGAGTAGAAAAGGAAATTAGCTAACCTGCAATGTGGTTATTATGTGATGGCAGGTAGTGCATGTGCGCAGACAGATCTTAGCCCGAGTGCAGGTTGATTCCCTCTTATTTTGTTTCTTACCTCAGCTGCTTCAGAGCACTGTGCAGTAGTTTTTTAGGATTAATAACAGCGCACACGGATGTTCCTTATTCCTTTCAGCATGTGGGGCACCATCCAGGTGTCAGCCATTGGCCCCTCTCTGTACCTGTGCCCTCTTCCGCCAGTCTATGTAAAACGGAAGTTAACTAATACCGCTCTTCTACTTTTGCTTCTGAGTTGTTGTAATGGCTCTTAGGGTAGTTTGAATTCGGTCTGCCGGTTAGCTATTTGATCCTGTGGAGTCCGGTTGGTTTCTTTCGTTTACTTTCGAACTCTTTATAGAACTGTGTGGTTTTCAGTAATGAAAATCGAAAGGGGCAAGCCCTTCTTTGATGAAAAAAAAAAACTAATACCGCTCGAGCTTAAATAACCGGATGGTAATTTACACTCGAATTGCCAGTGATTCCCCATCATTATCATTATCCCCAATCACTGGCTGATACCGTATCCTCAGTCACTGGCTCATATGGCAGCAGCCGAACACTGAAAGCTCGAGCACCTCCATGGTTGATTGCTGAAGTTTTGTCGACAGCAATTGTTGACATGCACCACAGTATCTGTCAGTCCCATGCTTGTTTCTTTCAGCTAAACTCAACTGTTGTTTCTTCTTTTTGTGTGTTGGAGATTTCACGAGACAGATACAGGGAGAGAGAATCCAAGCGAGTAGCTAAGCCTCGCAGTCGCAGCCATCCACGAGACGAGAGGAAGGGAGAAAAACTAGCTAGTGCTTAGTAGAAACAAGGGACAAGTTTGGCTCTTCTGGTCCTCATGTGCATCATCTCCTCCCCTCCACCCCGGAACAAAACCCCTCGCCTCGCGGCCACGATCACATGCCGTTGCCGCTCGCCAGTTTGTGTTTGCCTTAATTGGCCCCGGCCCCTCCCTCCCTCCGCCTCCATACCTCACTACTGCTCACTGCCAGTATATCCAGGGGGAGCGTTAATAGCTAGCTAGCGCGCCATTCCCCAAGCCAGCCACACATGCACACTGCGCCGGGCATTCACTCCCCTGCTCACGCACGCATTCAGCACTGTGCAGCTGCTGCTAGTGCTCTCCCCTACCCTGCATCTGCAACACCTAGTAGCTGACTGTGGGAAGGATCGATGGTGTGGAAGAGCTGGGGACGGCGGCTCCTGCTGAGCGCGGCCGTGCTCCTCTGCTCGGCCGCTGCTGCTGCTGCCGGCGACGTCTCCCTCAGCTTGACCAGCGCCCCGCCGCGCATCTCGACGTCGCCGTCGGCGGTGTTCGCCTTCCGTGCCGTGCAGAGCAGCGGCTGGACCTGCGGGGACTGCGCCATTACCTGCAAGGTAAGAAGCTCCATCTGGGTCCCGCCCCCGGCGCTCTATGTTCTACGCGTATGCTGCTTTGCTTTGCACGCGCGTCTCTTTCCACTTTCGAATTTTGAACGCATTTCATTTTTCAAATGTTCGTGCTCATTTAGTCAGGTTCAACCAGAGAAATCCGAGTACATCCTAGCTTCCGGACAATGGTAGTTTACAGTTAGTAGTACAGCACTTGAGAACCAAGACATGAAGCTGGCCTTGAATTAAACTGTACGAGATGAATGATTCTACAGGGCAATCCATTACTACCGGTCCAGTAATTCTCACCGGTCAAATAGAATTTAAAATTCCATGCAAAAAAATAGAATTTAAAATTCGGTTCTGACATTAGGGTGCCTTTTCGAATTTTGCTGCCACCTGGAACACTTTTATTTAGACGTAAGAAGTACTGGTATCAGCAAGAAAAAAAGAAAAAAAATCATTGTAGATTCCACATGTCTGCACAATAGTATAATTGAGCAAACAGTAAGTCGAACCTGAATACGTACTTCGGAACAGTTATATGAGGATTGTTTGCACTGCACTGCACGCAGTTGGACGGTGAAAGAAGATCGGACTGCGGGGGCAACGGAAATGGGACGGAGGTGGTAACCTTTGCAGGACTCAAGGACGGGAACCACACATTCGCAGCGTGCGCGACCCCGAGATCAGGATCAGGAAGCAGCGCGGGCCCAACCTGCGCCACCTACGCCTGGGATGTTGGTTAAGTAACACATCAATTAGACCCACCCAACCTAGCTGCAATGTGTAGTCACGAATCTGAATGTGTCTGCGATGTATGTGCGCATGCAGACACCGTTCCTCCGACGGCGACGGTGGCGGCGGAGTCGGCCTTCACGGCCGCGCCCAACGTCTCGGTGCTCGTCTCCCTGAGCGAGCTGTGCCCGGGCGGCGGCGGCTTCACGTGCAACGCCACCTACTGCGACGTACGTATGTGGCCTGGTACTGGTATGGTACCACTCTCAAGGAATCTCTCTGCGTCTGGTCTCATCGAACGAATGTGCACTGCAACTGCAGCTCATCGTGTACGGGCCTGGCCGTGTGGAGCCGTCCACCCTGGAGGCCGTCGTGCCCGGCCTGCGGTACTCCGTCGCCGTGTCGGCGTCGCCGGACGTGGACTACGGGCGCATGATCCTGGTGATGCGCAGAGGGTTCTGCACCGACGTGGCCGGCCACCGCTTCCGGAGGAGCTCCAACTCGAGCTTCACCCTCCGCTTCGGTGCGTACTACCATCCCAACTGATGATATACAAAATAAACAAAATAGCATCGCAACGCACTGATCTGAATCCAAAACTTGATGATAGACAAAAGGAGCGATTCCATGAACATCACCGCCAGCATCCCGCAGAAGCTCCTGCAGATCCAGGGCGCGATGAGGGTGGTCGAGGCCACCAACAACGACAGGGAGCTGAGGATATACATGTCCTTTGCGGAACCGGTGATGAACTCGTCCGCGGAGATCCTCGCCGCTCTCACCGCGACCGGGGCCGTGCTGACGCCGACCAACAGGAGCACGCTCGGCAACCGTCGGTTCGGTTTCGTCGTAAGCTTCGCTGTCCTTCTCTTCTTGTCCATCCTACTATTGATTGGCAAGCTGCTTGATTCGATTCATACGCCTGAATGTTAACATAATTTGTGTGCAGGTGAATAAGATATCGAGCACAGCTGTTGTGACTGTTGCATGTGATACGAGTTCCGTGATCAGCAGACAGGGGACCCCAGTTTATTCATCACAACCATTCACATTTCTATATGGTATTTATTCCTATTCCTGTTCCGGCTCCAGCACTTCCATTCTGGACGCCATACACAATTTTGATCTGGTTTTTCCCTCTTCTGCATGCTTGATGGATGGCGCTGCTGACAGATACGCGACGGCCTTCTGTTAAACTGGCAACGTCGACCGTGAGGACAAGCTCACACACCATCCCCGTCTTGATCAAGTTTGAAAAGCCTGTGTTTAACTTCACCTCCTCTGCAGTGCAACTTTCTGGGGGCAAACTATTGAGGCAAGAATTAATAGATAGATATTCCAATAACATCTGAATAAACGGCTAAATTATTTTTACCTTAGGAGTCAATTAGGACGTTATATAAATTAACGCTTCACGTATGGTTGGTTGGCTTTGCTTTCAGCTTCCATGAAGCTAGTAAGAGCATATACACAATGCAGATCCTGGCAGTTGACAAGCTGGTTTCGGTCCAGGTTGCTGAGAACACAGCTCAGGACGTGGCTGGGAATCCCAATCTGCCATCAGACCGCCTCCAAGTGAGACACTGTATGTATCAGCATTCAGCAATAGCATTCATTCTTCGCTTGCTACTCATTTATTATTAACAGCACAACAACCCAATCCAACCCTTTGATCATCATACATAAACACTGCTTTGTGCCCATCAGCACCAGTATGGCAACCAGGCAATGGAATATCCTTACGATTTTACTATGATCTCCATGCAGATTCTGTCCCTGCATCGTCTTCATCCATCGCAACCATCGCCACCGTAATATTTGCAGCAACCGCCATCCTCGCCACACTGCTCACCATCTCCACATCATCGCTTATTGCATCCGGCGCCATGGCAAGGCCTTCGTCTTACTCCATCTCCGAGCCATCACGAAATCTTCTGGTAATTAGCATGGGCCTCAACTCTGCTACCTGGTGTCCGGGTGACAGCTCCAGCTTCAGCAGGCTCATCGCTCACAAACATACCATCTGATCGATGATGATCGATCGCTGTTGTCTTATTTTTTTTACAGAGAATGGCATGCCACATCCAGATCTTCGCTCTGTCGAGATGGCTGTCGATAAATCTGCCGGTGGAGTACTACGAGCTGGCCAAGGGGATAGAGTGGACAATTCCGTACATCCGGCTTCCGTGGGAGGGTCCCTCTGCAGATCCATTCGTGGGCTACTCCACCATGCCAGCCATTGCGTACTCGGAGCTGGTGGACAGGAGTGATGTAATACAGGCTGATCCCTACTACCCTGGAGCTGCACCAGGTGGTCAGCAGCAGCAGATTACGCCGATGCAGATACCGGTAGAAGGGAAGCCGCCGGCGATCCCGCTGCAGATCCAGGCGTTGGATGGGAAGCCACTGACCGCAATGGAGTACCGATCTTTCTTTGAGGTCACATGAATTTTGAAGTTTCTCCCTGCGTTTTATTTGGGTCTCCATGCTTATCGTCGATTTTTTGGAGCCATCATTTTCGTTACACCTCTGGATGCTGAATGAGCACTGCATGGCTGAAATGCAGAATCAGGACATGAAGCCTGAAGCGCAGATTATCATGAAGCTGCAAGATTTGGACGGGTATGATACTTGGTCTTCATGATCGAGTGCTCTCGAGACTTATCAACTGACCGATTGTATTATTTATGCTGTTGAAACGTGGCATGCATGGATGCAGGTGGAAATACTTTGGAAGAAACATGTTGTGGCTGGGTGTCATTGGGGGAGGTCTCATACTGCTGCATCTTCTTCTCCTCCTCTACTTGAGATTAAGGTACAGAGGAGGCACAGGAAAGTACGGAGCACTCGTCCTCCCCAGATTTGAGATCATGCTTGCAATCCTTGCGATGCCTTGCATATCCCAAGCGTCTGCAGCACTCATCAGAGGTACGCCGTCCATCCCAATGCTCTGATCGATGCAGAGATCGTGTGATTGATTTCAACGGGATAAATGATATCGACCAGGTGGGACTACCGGAGGGTTGGCAGTGGGGATCGTGCTCATCGGCATCTTGACGGCGTTCCTGGTGGCCTTGCTGCTGTTCCTGTCGCTGGGCATCACGACGGGCAGGCTGCTCCAGTACAAGGAGGTGCACCAGGAGGGGCAGGAGCACCGCTGGTACCAGGAGATCGTCAGGCGGTCGCTCGGCCCCGGCAAGCGCGGGCAGTGGACGTGGAAGGACCCCGCCCGCGCCGCGCGGCTCGTCAAGCTCGGCCCGCTGTTCGAGGACCTGCGCGGCCCGCCCAAGTACATGCTGACGCAGATCGTCGTGGGCGGGGGCGGGAAGCGGGCGGCGGCGGACCAGCGGATCATGGCGTCGGAGGACGAGAACGAGGACGCGGAGGCGCCGGTGATCCAGAAGGTGTTCGGCATCCTGAGGATCTACTACACGTTCCTCGAATCGGTGAAGCGGGTGGCGCTGGGCATCGTGGCGGGCGCGCACGCGTCGTCGGGCCGGTCGTCGCGGGCGCACGCCGTCGTGGTGCTGGCCGTCGCGTCGTTCCAGCTCTTCTTCATGCTGCTCAAGAAGCCCTTCATCAAGAAGCGGGTGCAGCTGGTGGAGATCGTGGCGGTGGCCAGCGAGGTGTTCATCTTCGCCGCCTGCCTCGTGCTCATCGACAGGAACAGCGGCGACGGCAGGGGCGAGCTCGAGGAGGTCGAGGAGAGCGGCGGCGTGGGGATCGCCATGCTCGGCGTCTTCTCGCTGGCGTTCGCGGCGCAGGTGTGCAACGAGTGGAACGCGCTGTACCGGCAGGTGCAGTTCCTGAGCCCGGACAGGAGCTCCTTCCTGGAGGGCGCCAAGGCGGCTTCGGTCGGGCTGCTGCTGCTGGTGCTTCCGTCGTCGGTGCTGGGCGACCCGCTGGCGGGCCAGCAGCAGCAGGAGCCGTCGCCGGATGGCGGCGGCTCCACGGGCCAGACGGTGCCGGGCGAGGCGCAGAGGAGTTCGAACGAGCGGTCGTGGCTTGGGCAGCTGCGGGAGATGGCCAAGGCGAGCTTCAGCAGGGACGGGGAGGACCCGTCCAGCAGCACCGCGTTCAAGGGGAAAAGGAGCGGGAGCTCGTCGGTGGCGTCGCAGTCTGCGGACTCCAAGGCCAAGGGGGAGTGGAGGCCCAAGTCCAAGGCGCTGTACAAGGATTTGGAGGCCATCTTCTCCAACAGGTAGCAGGCTCGCTCGTCCATGATTGGCAAGTGACATGAGAATAAGATAGAATCAACTGATATTCAAAAAAAAAAAGATAGAATCAACTGGATAAGCAGGGAACAAGTGGAAACACTGCACATACTAGCAATAGGAATATGCCGTTTAATTTGACACAAAATCATCAGTAGGTGTATGTGTGGTAGCATTATTGTCACAAGATCATTCATGACCGTAATAGAATGAGTTCTTCATAATCACCTTTTTGGCTCAAGAAAAAAAAACAGGTGAGTTTTTGTCTAGAGAACAAAATAGATACTCCCTCTGTAAAGAAATATAAGAGCGTTTAGATCACTACACTTTAGTGATCTAAACACTCTTATATTTCTTTGCAAAGGGAGTACGTATTATTGAATGGGTGGTAGTTTCTTACTGTGTTGAGCATCCAGACTCAGAGTGAACATGTGTTGTTCCCGAGTGAAATCTTAAATTTTGCGCACTTATAATCATGAAATTGAAAGGCCATTCGGATTGTTTTTAAATTAAATCTAGCTAAAATTAAATGCCTATATATTGTAAGAGCATCCTAGCTTCCTAAACATTGAGCCTATACAGTTTTTTGGGGCTCAAACAAAGAAAGTGATCCAGTAGGATCTTTTGGGGCTCAAACAAAGAAAGTGATCCAGTAGGTCCTATCATAGGATCTAAAATAGGAAGGCACCCAAAATCCATCCAACAACCTCTTCTCCGACAGGTGTGAGAGGAGGCCCCATTTCGGTCATTGCGAAATTTCCGACAATGAGAGAGAAATTCGGTCGTCCTGCCAGCGTGGCGGTAGAGTGCGTAGGCAGCCACAGTCAGTCTTCTTCCTCCTCGCCAGGCTGCCATGATGCTTCTTTACACCTTCAACCTTTGTCCCCTACCTCTCCGTCTCACCCTGCCAGCAGTCGTCTTTGACAATGCCATACCCTCGAGTATAGCTATGGAGGACAAATTACCCACGACTCGGAGTCCACCACCTATACAAGGGTGTATCACCTAAAGATACTAGATGGTAACCAACTCAGACTCTTTTGTAACCTTAGCCTCATCCGCCTATAAAAGGTGACACAGGACCCCTCCCCCCTCGAGCGGTACTTGTTCGTTGCTATTCCCAACACAATTATACACATCAAGCCCTAGCTCTCATACGAGGTTGTGATCAATACCATACACAAAAGGAAGGAGTGCGGTATTACCTTCACACTGAGGGCTGGAACCTGGGTAAATCTCATCTCTTGTGCATCCCCTATGTTTCCCTAGTATGTGTGGTACCCCATGAACACCTTACACTGATAGTTGGCACTCGAGGTAGAGGCTGCACGTACTGGATCAGATCGGATACAAATGGGATCCACTTTCCACTTTGTGGAGTTCACCCCAGGACAAGGTATCCGCTTTGGCTCCCTGAATTTCATCGCAAATGTGGTTGGGCATCTCCCCCTCGTGCGCTACCTTGCTTGAAGGACAGTCTCTCCACTTTGGGCGTCTGGACTTTGTAGCCAACAACTTTGGCAAGCTTCGCGTCCACAAGTCGGCTCCCTACCTATTGGTGGAATCCTTGTCCAGGCAACCCCTGGGAGCTACGACCTCGTATCATTACAACAAGTTTATTTCCTAGCTTTTCACCATGGTGTAATCTCTCATGCCCATCCTAGACTCTAAGTCTCATGGGTATGAGAGTTACGGTAGCTACACCCCATCCACCCCCACTCATTCGACCACATACGCCACCTTGAGCGCATGAATTGATATATTGATCAACACCGAACGAGGGGTTACCCGTCAAAGAATTAACCTAACCCCATGACTTTTTGTTCAGGAGATTCACCTTTGAGAGTAAGTGTACGAACATGGCCTTGAGCATTTAGCTTATGGTGGCCTTTTGAGTACGTGTACTTCCCGATTTGTGCTACATATGCAATATCCTAGGACACGGGGAGGAGTTTAAGATCAAGCTAGAAAATGGAGAGAAGACGTGATATGGCATGTGAACAAAGGTTGTTGGACGACAAGGAGCGTCCACTAGGCATAGTGGAAGGGGGGCAATGGAAGTAGGAGCTATGGGCTCGAAAGGTCGAGTCGTTGGTCAGGAAGTGACAGACTCACGTGTAGGAAAGACCCGCAGTCAAATGAGGATCGGGAGGAAAAGAAGGATACAAAGAAAGAGGTCACTAATCCTGCAAAGAAGCCCAATGAAACCAACACTAACACTAAATCCCCAGAAAATAAACTAGAATATTTGCAGGAGAAGGAGAATGAGGTGAACTGTGAGGGGGGTGGAGCCGGGGTTGTGATGGGCGTGCAAGATGGGGTGAACAAAAAAGGGTAGAAATGGGGCACCCAGCTCAGTGACACAGAGGACATGAAATTTTAGTGCACCAATGGAGGGGTGAAAGGGTACTAATGGTTCTGTGGTGAAGAAGGTGCATGAGAAAGCAACTAATGAAGGCAAGAAGCCAAACTCAAGGAGATGCAAACAAGTGGCGAGCGAAAAGGGGAGGAGGTCATCAGATGGAGAAGAAGCAGACTTGGCGAATCGATAGAGAAGCAAGGTATCAAGAAAGGTAGAACTAGGGAGTTAAAGGATTAAGTTGAGGCTAACAACACATTGACATCATTCGGGCTGCATGAGCACACTACTACATGTCCAGTTAGTGCCAATGTGCCAAAAGTAGTCATCACTGATTGTGCCCGTTAGTGTTTCCCGATTCGTAGATGACTAGGTCATTTGCGACGGGTTAGTTGACCCGTCTGTGATGAGTGCCATCATAGACCGGTCTACCGATTAGTGTTGATTTTGTAGGGTCAACCTGAGCGCTCACTGATGGGACGATAGGCTATGGCCCATCAATAATGACTATTTGATTTTGTAGAGGCAACCTGAGCGGTCATCACTGATAGGCCGATAGGCTATGGCCTACCAGTGATGACTATTTTGAGTTAGGCAAGTTGGGGTTGCGCTTCAGCACAAAGTTGTTGACACTCAAGAATCAACTTTCGACTAGGGGTATCCTTAGCTGATGAAGTTGTTGATGGATATAATGATCCCAATGATGATCAGAGTGTTGGTGATGGCGATGGCTTCAAATTCTCCCTCCCGGAGGGATGGATCCCCAGCAGAATTAGATCACTAGAGGGCAAAACTGAAAGTGCTAGTTATCGACTAGAGGGGGGTGAATAGGCGATTTTTATGTAAGTCTTCAAAACACGGGGGCTTTGAAGACAAACAGTAGAAATGAACCTATTGATATGCAGCGGAAGGTAGACTACACCAGACAAGCCATAGTCAAGTAAGCAATGAAGTGAAAGCACGAAGACTATGAACAGCTAGGTAGTAAGGATCAGGATGGAAGATAGTGTGAAGCCAAACAACAACGGTGTTCACACAGTGAAGACAATCAGATCATGCATGGAGGCAATGACTTCATGAAGACAAACTGTAAGTAAAGAGAGGTAAAGGATAGAACCAGTTGCTTGGGGAGGACAAGGATTTGTTGGACCAGTTCCAGCTGCTGTGACAACTGTACGTCTAGTTAGGGAGGTTGAGATTCAACTCAGAAGACCGCATCTTCACCTTATTCCCCTTGAGCTAAGGACAATTAGTCCTCGCCCAATCACTCTGGTTTGTCTTCAAGGTAGACTTCCAAACCTTCACAGACTTCGTTCAACGGCAATCCACAATGACTCTTGGATGCTCATAACGTGACGCCTAACCGGCTAGACGATTCACAGTCCTCAAGTATAACAAGTCTTCAGATCACGCGGACAGAAAGACTTCAGTGATGCCTAACACTCTTTGGCTCTGGGTGTTTTGGGCTTTGTCCTCGCAAGGATTTCTCTCTCAAATGCTTCGAAAGTGGGTTGCTCTCAAACAACAAAAGCCGTGCACTAACTCTGAGCAGCCACCAATTTATGGTGTAGGGGGTGGGTTATTTACAGCCAGGAGGCAACCCGACCTAATTTGTCCAAAATGACCCTGGGTCACTAAGGAACTAACACGTGTCCAACGGTCAGATTTCAAACACACACAGCAGCTTGACTTGGACTACAAGTAGAGCTAACTCATCCAGCTCTGGATAAGATTTGCTCTCATTGTCTTCGCTCGAATACATAGGATTTGGTTGAGCATCACATCAGTCACTCTGACTTTGTTCACTTGGACCCCACTTAATAGTATGGTGGTTCCTATGACTCAACAAAGAAGAAAAGGAAACTACGAAACAACTATGTCTTCGCACTCCATAGTCTTCATGCGATGTCTTCTCATGTCATAGTCTTCAATGTGAATATCTTCACAAACCACCATTGTCTTCAATGTCTTCACATATTTTTAGGGGTCATCTCTGGTAGGTAAACCGAATCAATATGGGACTACTACCTGTGTTATCCTGCAATTCTCACAAACACATTAGTCCCTCAACCAAGTTTGTCGTCAATACTCCAAAACCAACTAGGGGTGGCACTAGATGCACTTACAATCTCCCCCTTTTTGGTGATTGATGACAAGCTGGTTGAAGTTTTCAACAGGGATAAAAGTATGTGAAAGTTTAGTGTTGTGAGTATTGTCTTCATACATATGACGAGGCTCCCCCTCAAGATGTGCATGTAAATGATTTGCTTTTGAATGCAAATGCATGATACATCTCCAACGTATCTATAATTTTCGATTGTTCCATGCTATTATATTAACCATTTTGGATGTTTATGGGCTTTACTATACATTTTTATATCATTTTTGGGACTAACCTACTAACCGGAGGCCCAACCCGAATTGCTGTTTTTTTTGCCTATTTCAGCGTTTCGCAGAAAAGGAATATCAAACAGAGTCCAAACGGAATGAAACCTTCAGGAGCGATCTTTTTGGAACAAATGCAATCCAGGAGACTTGGAGTGGACGTCAAGAAGAAGCCGAGGCGGCCACGAGGGTGCTTGGCGCGCCCTAGGGGGGCGCCCCCTGCCTCGTGGCCCCCTTGTGGCTCCAC